AGCTGGAATCGAACTCGGGTCGTCGGGTTCGTAGCGCAGCGCCACCGGACCACCCCGAATACTGACACACGCACTCACGCACAAGACACACGCGTGGAGTTGAAGGGGTCTCTCCCCTCCTTCCCTCGCGTCTCCCCAACTCAACCCCCACTCATCCCCACTTCGTCCCGTCCCCTCTTCGTCTCTGTGGAGCAGGAGGCGGCGGCGTGCTCGATCGTTCGAGAGCAGTGCTGCTGCTGCTTCTTCTTCTTCTTAACCCTGGCTGCACGCTGCAGCCCCTGGGGTCGCGAGATGACCTTTCTGGGGGTGCGAGGCACGGCCAGATTTGGTTTTAGAAGGGAAATAATCGCAAACACAAATTGAGAACGGGCACGTAAGTACAACTTACTTTCACCATTGGAACCTCATTTGCCAGTAGCAAAATATGATAATTGGTTTTTTACCCTTCTATCTGGCAACAAAACTGACACCTTTTTTTACAAGGAGTCATGTTTGCATTGACCACAATACCTGCAGTCGGAATGCAAACAAAAAACATAACTCTGATCATGTATGCACTGTCCTTGAAATTGATTGGTCCACACCCGAGACAGCTTTCTTTAGAGCCTAGTCTCACATGGTTTCATCAAACGCTGTGTAGTTATTAACATTCTAATTAATTTTACGGTAAAGAGCCACTGCTCTCATGACATCGCAACAGCCTCGCGCCTTGCTACGGCACACGGCGAGAGCCAACGGTAACATGTCACATTGGCGGAAATTAAAGTCCTGCTTATTTTTGAACGCGTAAACATACTTGCTTCCCGCCTCCCCCCCCCCAAAACCATCATGGACCGGCGTGGTGAAGTATGGTCAAAGAATCACGAGCCCAGCGGCCTCGCGTCATTGTTGCCTGCGGGCAACATGAGTGGCCGGTTATCGCAACCTCTGCTGGACCTCCCTTTGGGCGATTCAGTCTCAGCGCCTGGTGCGGTGTGTGAATATCAACACTGGGGAGACAAAGGTGGCCGGGCGTGAGGCTGGTCACACCATCCTCTCGTGCCCCGTTGCCGGCCTTCATAGGTGCTACTCGCTAACGGCACTTGTCCCAAAGTCTGTTAAAGGCTATACGGGGGATCTTTGTATTTGTCTTTGCTTATACCAAGTATATTCCTTTTTTGCTTGTGGTACAATATTTGGTCCACAACATCTGACATCTCTATCTGAGCAGAGCTGAGCCAGCGACGTTTCTAATTCCCAACAACTTCCCTGTTTGTTAAGAAAAAACCCCACCACCACTACCAACATCAACAACCCCCAGTTTCCTCCTTCTATAAACAGGGGGCCGCAATCCGTGTGGATACACATAGTTCTTTTTTACTGAGGCCTCAACAAAACACGCACGCACACGCGTGTCGGTCAGCTACGATTTCGCAACACAAACAAAAAAACAACCACGTTACTATTGTTGACGTGGTCGTAGTTTTGTCCCACATTTGGAACTCATGGAGGGCGTTTGACACCGTGTCCGCTCAAAATAAAAACCCACTTCAGCTGTATTCGCAAAACTCAATCAGCCGAGAAATATGAAACGTCGACAGTAGTGGCGGTGGTGGCTGCTGCGATCCAGCGCTGTGGGGGCAACAGCGAGGGTTGATGGAACACCAACACACACAGATGTTGTGGAACTCCCCTTCTTCCCGTGCGCGTCGAGGAGGTGTCCCTACACATGGCTCGCCAGGGAAAAGCGGTACAGCAAAACAACGTGGAACTCCACCTGCATCATCTGTATGGGATCGAGTATTGCACCCTCGCACGCGTGGGTTTGCTGCGCGTGCTCTGGTTGCCTCCAACATGTATACACACTCAATAATTGGCAGCGAATATATTTTTGTACACATATAGAGGACTGCAGAGCTTGGAGGGAGGGATTTGGCACCGACTCGCCGCCTTGCTGCTGGCTTCCCGCTCGGCTGTGGTTCCTCCCCGCGCCTCTGATTCGTCCTCCCACCCCCCTCCTCTCTCTCCACGAGCACGAGCGAACCCCGTGGGGTGGCGGTGCAGTGTGACGAGTTTAATAACGTATCCTCGTTGGGAAGCTAAACACTGCACACAACATAGGGCCCTACCGACTACACTGGGACGTTTGGCCAATTCCCTTCACGTCGCAGAGGGTCTCGTAAAATCTACACAGGGGTCTCAAGTATATTGCTGTGATGGTCTCAGCCAGGTCGCCAATAAGCTACACACACAAAAACCACGAGGTTTGGGTTTAGCACTTGGAATTGGATACACTTCAGATTTACGAATTTCACTCTCAGGTTCTCGCGTGATGAACATTACTCACCTTTGCCGGGGTGTGGGGATGCAGATACTCACCCCTACCTCGTGGACCACAGGTCACGTACACGGATTTCAGCAGTAGCTCTGTGACATCCGCACATCGGGGTGTACTCCTCTGCGAGTGATCCGGTGGATTATTAATGACAAGACACCCGTCACGCAGGTAGAGGCGGGACCCCTGCAATTGCCAGCTCGTGCCACTGCTGGCGGAAGGACCTCCAGTCAATGGGGCTCTAGAGGCGATTGGCCTACTCTTCCACGCTGACCATACAGTCTTGGAAGAGATGGGCGTACCTACACGCGACCCTGCACATCATAGGTGGGCTACCTATGGTGTAAACCATTCATAACGGCTGGGTTGGACAGAGGCGGGTCAGGGAAAACACGTGTGATTTCAGAAACGTGCCCTAATTTGTCCCACATGCCTTGCCGGGAGATCGAGTCGAACCGGCGACCTCTGGATCGCAAGTCCAGTGCGGCGCGGCTGACCCATCGCATCGGCATTGTGGCAGCAGCAGCAGCGGCAGCAGCGGCATCTTTGGAGGCGCGCACGCGTCATAGGGAGCGTAGCCCCCCGACGAACGCGACCACCGCTCCCACCGCCGCGTCTCCCTCCATCCAGATCTCCGCTTCACCACCGCTGATCGTTATCGGGCGGCGTGCGGCCACGCCGGGCAGAGCCACAGCATCTGCCGAACGCTTATCAGGCCCGAGCAGAGCTGCTGCCCCCCCCCCCCACCCCTTTCGCGACCACCACCACCCCCCACCGATCACCGCCGCAGAGCGCACAAACATCCCTCGGCGATCCTGCAAAAGCCTCACCACCTCGACACCCCCACCCCACCCCACCCCCACCTCTTTCTCTCGGTGGCAAAAAAAAGATGTTGAGATTCGTTGCTTAGTCGAGGGTCATTCTACTGCACGGGTCGAGCTGGTGATGTCATTAACCTGCCTGTGTTGCTCTTTCTGTATCTCGGCGTAAATATTCTTCAAGAGTAATCATCACGGCTCAATGTATCACCTGGTAGTCGACTTCAGGAGGTGGCGAGTCGTAGCCGCAGCCATCGCCAGAGGAAACTGGATGTCGTGGGCTGGGTTGGTATTGACATTTTCCAGATCGCCTACCGGGACAGCATTGTGCGTGACGATCCGAGTGGGTGGTGGGAATCGAACTTAAGACTCGCAACTGCCAGGATTGTGATCTGCTGTCGGTCCATGTAAATGCTTGGTCCACATGAGCCGTGGGTTTCCATGAACGGGGGTTCAGTGTCAAACACGAGTTTTATCTGTAACAGAGATGTTTCTGATCTCGGGCTCTGTGTGAGTATATGGGTCTCTCTGTAAGTCTATGATTTTCTAAGTCTATAGACCTCGAATGTAAATCGAAGTTGGTCTATGGGTCTCCATGTAAATCTATGCAAGTCCATGGGTCTCTCGAACCCTTTATGGACCAACCAGTCTGAAATAAACAGGAGCCAGCCCCCTTGGAAATGTCAGTGGCCACACGTGAGATGCCCGTGTGGAGGTAAACACTCCCCGCCCGGAGTGACTGCTGCCACGAGGGTCGTCGGCCTGTCGCCAACCGTTCTGACACCAGCTGGAGAAAGCGCCAGAGCAGAGCGAGCACCACGAGAGTTGCTGGAGGGAGAGGTGGGATGGAGGGGACGCTGTCACAGCACCGGAGGCGAGGTCAGAGTTGAGCTGAGCGAGGCGGCTCCATACCAGCAGTCGGTGGGTCATGCTTCACGGTTCGGGCTGGACGTGGTAGTATTTGGTGGCCGATGCGAGAGTCGGGCCGTGTTAGGGGCGGCTGTCGAGTGTGCCGGCGGTGCGACTGCACCGGAGTCCATGGGTTGGGCTGGAGGGGCACAGGTGCCGGGACACGGTCAAGGCTGGGGGGCGGGGGGACTGGAGCCGTGCCAACCACGCGACGCCACATGGCTGGTCGTGGCAGGTCGGCCTCGCGTTCGTCCTGGTGGCTGGTGGGCTCGTGTCGGCCGACTCGCGTGTTGCATCCCACCGCTCCTCCTCGTCGCCACCCCGGGACTTGAAGGCGACTCTCCCCCTCCCGCTCGCCGCTCTCGTTTCTCGTGTTTACAGCGGAAATGTTTTTTTGTCGATCAAGGAGAGAGATTAACGAAGGGCGAGTGGCACTGGGCAGAGTCCTCCAGCGAGCGTGTGCATCGCTCCGATAATCTCAGCTAGCGGATTCTCGATTACAAAGACGCTCTGGAAAGTAAGACGCGCCCTGCACTTGTTGCACTCGACGCAGACAAGATCCCCCTCCACCCGTGTAGCCTGTAACAGACTGTTAGGGCAAGAGCTGTTAGCGAGCACCTATTAAGGTTGGCAAGGCACACCAGAGGGTGGGTAGCCAGCATCACGTGCAGCAGGACAAGCCTCCACCGCCACCCGGCTCACCTCTGAACCCCAATTCGCCCGGCAACAGCAGCTCCCCCAGCTTAATGGGGGTGGCTTGCCGGGTGAAAGTATAAAGTCTGAGCCCGTGTCCCTATAAACACATCATCACCGCCGCCACTGCAGTATCACGAAGACAAAACAAGGCGAGATGGATGTTGGCTGGGTGGAAAAAACTGTTCCCGGAACAGCGGCGGGTGTTCCGGACTCTCCCGTCCGATACGAATCACGGTCAAGAACGATGCAGGGAGCGCGCAGGGTGAACGGACGATGCATTTATTGGCATATCCACCATAAGTGAAATGTTGTGCTCAGTGTAACGCCAACGAAACACACAGACGTTCCGCTCTGTGTGCGAGTGTGTGTCCGGCGTTGCAACTAAATTACTTGTATTATCATGAATTAAATGTTTAACATTTTCATCTTTGTTTAAGTCTATGCACGTGACTTGTACAAAAAAACCCGACAAGTATCCGTTCTGCTATTTGCACATGATGCATCTTAACATTTTATTTCTTACAATAATGTTACTAATAGTACTCTCAATAATAATAAAGACGATAACGATGACGACGATCGTAAAAACGAATTGTAAAAAAAAATTGACCAAAGATGTACAGCGCAACGTCGTGTATCTGATCCGCCGAAGGACTGACAAGACAAATATTAGGCGTACGTGTCAAATGGTCGCATGAGTGGATAACCCCACAGACATCAACAGTGGCGCTACACACAAGCAGATTACGGAACAGTGAATGTACGTGAGATCAGCATCGCGCGAAAGGCTCAGCTCTACGGACACCTCGGGGAAGATGACCGTCACGCAGCACTTGGGGCTGCGAGCGGTTAATCGATCACGGCAGACGCGTGACGGGTCGGATACGCGACGTTCTACTGTGCCACGGAAGCCCCCTTCGGGGATGATCTTCTTGAAACCCCTCCGGGGCTGTGGGGTGACGGAGGAGTTTGTAAACAGTTTAAACAGTAGCTTGTAGTCATCACATTCGTAACGTGGAAACGCACGGCGGCGCGCACACTCCCACCAGGCACAGGTGCAGCCTTGCAGTTGCTCGCTCACACGACACTGCTGGTGGAAGGGGCCTCTCCGCTAAGAGGGAGCTTTTCGGGGCTTATTTTGGCCTACTCTTCCACGCGGGCCAGCTTGCTTGGAAGAGGTGAAAGCAGCCACACTTGACCCCACCACAAACGACCTGCAGATCGCCTGCGGCGTAACCCATCGACACCGCTGGGTGGGCAGAGATGGGTGGGTGGGGTGGGGTTAAGAAACTCGCCACTCCGCCCATTTTGTTTCAACTGCCACGCAGGGAGGTGGAATCGATCCGGCGACCTCTGGATGGGGAGTCCAGCGCGCCGCTGATCGTTGCACCGCTGTGGCAGCATCCCGTGCGCCGTCATGATACGTCACCAAACGTCGTTACCCCAAATTAATTTGCGTAAATGAGTCCCCCCCCCCCCCCCCACCCTGAGCGACTATTTGTTTCCGCACGCGAGCGCACGGTGTTGGCGAGTTGTTAAGACGCGAGCCTTCTGGAGACAAACACTCGATGATGCGCCCGTCAAAAAACACGTTTCCTCGCTTGTGAGAATTACATTTTCACAACCAATTTTACTTGCCAATGCGCTGCCCTACAACGCGGGTTCCCTAACGTCTGCCAAATGACGACACCGCCCATTAGAAAAATACCCACAATCCAGTTGCTCACAGTTGTGTTACAACTCCACATTACCCTTCACCCCCCCCCCACCTCCCCAATAAGCCCCACCACAATTATCCAGCATTTGACGTCACCGATTTACGCTATGAAAATAAATAAAAAAGCAACAACAAAATAAACACGAGGAAAATACCCAGGGACTCCTTTACGGAGCCGTTTTAGATATACAACTCGACGTCCGCAGACTAGGACAGTCGATGTCCGATGCTGGCTCGACGTACAAATCTGCTGGCGTACGGTCGAATGTCGGAGCATCTCTCTGCATGGCGAGCGACGGAGAGGGAGACTTGGAAGCCGCCGACATCTTTGCGAGGCTCAATCGTCAAGATTCTCAGATCTTTGTTTTTTTTTCGATTATTCATCTCATCATCATCGCGCTGTCGATCCCTGGAACAAAGTCGAACAGACCGACGGTGGCCTCTTCGACCGTGCTCTGCCTCGTTCGTGTGATCATAAAAAAAAATAACTGCTCCAATGCGTCGTCTCATCCTTGCCTGCGAACGCAAGATTGATTTCACGTTGCATAGATTGTCTTCATGGAGTGGGGGGGGTGCTGTTGAGTGAGTGAGCGAGTAATTGAACGAGTTAGTAGGCAAGCGAGCGGGCAAGGGGTTGAGTGACTGAACAGGCAAGTGAGCGGTGAGCGACGGAGCTGTTTAGTGCCCGAGTGGCAATACTAGTGAGTGAGTGAGCAGGTGAGCAGGCGAGATCTTTGCTCTGGATCCGAGGTCCCGGGAGGGTTTGTCCACGGTGACACTAAGAATCTGGGTTGGTCCTAAGCACTCGCCAAAATCCACAGCATGCCGAGGACTGCAACCGGACTATGGTTGGTAAGCAGGAAGCAACAATAGCTGTTATGAGAGACAGCCGGACTGAAGCCAACAAAGTCACGCAGCCAGTCTTACAGCTAACTAGCCAAACAGGCCGACTGCAAAAAGCAAGTCACCCAGCCAGACTACAGAACAACAAGTCACACAGCTGGACACATCACCTAGCCACAAGCCATCAGGAGACACAGGCAGACTTACAGCTAGTCTGTAGGCAGCAGGAGACACAGGCCCACTGCAGGCTGCACGAGACATTCGCAGACTGCAATTAGACGACAGGCAGCAGGAGACACGCGCGCAGGATGCAGCGATACTTTGGGCGGCACGAGACACAAGCAGACTACACGCAGCAGGAGCCAGGCAGACTGCAGAAGCGGACTACGGAGACCCACTCGCCTCTCCTCCACCTCGCCCTCTGTGTCGAGCTGCAGGAGGAGGACCGTTGTCTGTGGCAGCGCAGGAGTGAGGGGGGGGGGGGGGTGAGAGTGGTGTGCGTTTCCTTTTTACACCGAACGGACCCAGGAAGAAGCCGGCGTACCAGGCACGCGGCCGGTTGCTGTCGAGACCCCCGTGGCCGGTCGGCTTCGCCGTAGTTTCGTGTGTGTCGTCCCCCCCCCCCCCACCCCGGGGTTCCGTTTCGCCGTTCACATCGGAGGCATCGTTTGCCGCAGTGATGGTGGTTGCGGTGGAACAGTGCGCCGTGCGCCGCCGAGACGGAGCAGTGTCGTCAAAAGTAAAGACAAACGGAACGTAAAAAATAGAACAATAACGATATAGCGTGTGAATTCATTAATATAGTGCTCAACATTGTTACGCTGCTGCTGCTGCGGCTGCTGTGCGTCGACATTCAATCTTCTCGCTTCGGGAAGGTTAAAAATAGAGACCGGGCGACAGAACGTGTCTGACCCATCGCAGCAAAGTAGTCGGTACAAGCTCAGGGCGTGTCATCGTTCGTGTTCATTATTCTTCCACTTGCGATTTTTTTTTCAGAATTTTCCACCGTTAACTTTTTTCTTTGCTTACCAATTATTACCTTCCCTCATTTCTGTTGTCGTTTTTTTTTTTCCTTTTTCCTTCCCGCGCGTCGCCGTCGAACGATCACCATCGCCGCCGGCCGGCCCACCCCCCCCCCGCCCGTCGTCTCACTGCACAACGCGATCCTGCATCGCGGTCGGCACGACGTACTGCTGGTGGTAGGCCGAGGCGCCGGCGGGCATGACGCCGCCAGAGCCCGGAGCCGGCGCGTATCCCGCGTACCCGGCGGGGAGGAACGCCGACGCGGCCGCGGCCGCCGCGTAGGAGTAGTCGTACGCTCCGCCGTACTGCGCCGCAAAGCCGCTGCCCGGGTACTCGAGGTAGCAGGGCGTGCTGGCGCCGGTGCTGGCGGCGCCGGCGCCCGGAGACGTGTGGGCTCCCAGCAGGAGGCCCGGCTGCAGCATGGCGTGCGGGTAGACGTATTGCGTCGCCAGCCTGATCGCCGAGGGAGACGGACATGGGCGTCACCACGACGGCCTCACGCGCGCGCGGGGGGCCCCTGCCGCTCAGCCGACCGGTGGCGGTGACGAGGGCCAGCGAGGCCTAGCGGCCCCCCCCCCTCCTCAACAGCCGCTATTTGCCACGAAGTGACAGGGACGTCACCACGGCGCTTGTGCCAGGCTAGGTGCACGTTAAGGCCACGTGAAGTGTCTAATGCCCGCTGGCAGGAGGTGACGGGACAGACGCAGGTGCCATGGCTTAAATGACCGAGATGAGTGGCCGATGCACCACCTGTGCCCCCTACTGTGTTTTAGCCACCCGGCGCTCCGCTCGTTGTTGCGAGCATCGCTCCTCCGCCCTCCGTTGTTGTTGGAGGGCGACTGCCTCCAACTGCCCAGTAGCGTCCTTCATGAGCCTCCTCCACTGAGGCCGATCTTGACACCGCTGGTACCAGTCATCGGCAAGACCACTCCGCTCCATATCCTCTCGTACCATATCACTCCATCTCTTCTTTCGCCCGCACTGCGCCTATTTAACCCCTCTATTCGACCGAACAAAAGCCGATTTGGCATGCGGTGGCTGGGCATGCGGGCTACATGACCCAGCCAACGCAGCCCCCTCTCAACCCGGCGTTCCCACACATCCCGCACGGTAAACATCGCGCAACTGGACCTAGCGAGAGAGCGTGGGAGGCCACTGGTTGGCATAGCACGCGGCCGATTGACGCAACCGGAGAACACATGCCCTAGGCCGTACCAGGTTACATCGCACTGCTTAGCGTTGTTTCGCAAGAAAAATCTATCATTGGACGGGACCGTACACTTTCCATACTCCCACGCCAAAAGCCACGGCCATCTCTCATGGGCTCGAGACGACGACTGCTGTTTGTCTTGCAAGGTCTCGCAGAAGAACGCCTACATAATAAATATACGGACAGATATAATATACCGCACTGAATGGATGGTGCGTGGATTGGCGACCGTCATGCACAAACAGGGCGACAGTCGGTGCTGCTCAATGAGACTGTGAGAAGCAGCAGCATGGCGATCACATTTGTTCCACGGCTACAATGTGGCGGGGGAAGGTCATAGATCAGGGGTCAGGGGTCACGGTGGAGGGGGGCGGCACCGAGACCCCGCTGGACCGTGGGGATCGCCGTTTGATTCCCACGTGGATCGCTTTGTGCTTGAGAAACATTTCCCGCTTAGTTTGGCCTGCATAGCAGAGCTTTACAATACCATACTAACGATGATGATGATAATGATGATAATTTGACGGCGATGATAATGATGATAATTCGACGGCGATGATAATGATGATGGTTACCACGACAACGAGGAAGATGGGAAGAGGGGCGCAGACTCACCCGTACTGCTGCCGGAGTAGAGCCGGGTGGATCTGCTGCATACCAAGGCCAAACCCTGCGGACAGCAACAAATGCACGCACGAAAACACGTGAAAGAAAACGAGTCAACAAAACGAACGCACGCACGCACGCTCACGCGCAGACAAATACACCCATGAATGCACAAAATGCATTGCAGATATACACACACGAACATACGCACACAAATCTACACACGCATACATGCACAAAACACATATTATCGCCGAAACATACGTTTTGGGCAAGTGCTGTTAGCAAGCATCTATTAGTTGGCACACGAGGGAGGGTGAGTGGCTAGCACCACGCCCAGCCACCATTGTCTCCCTAGGTGGGGATATTTACCCATCGCAGCAGGTAGTCATTTGAGGCCGAGTTGATCGAGGGGAGGCCCAGCAACATCCACCTCGCCCCATAACATAGAATTAATATGGACAGGCGTAACTTGTACTCTCGTGGTAGTGCCTTATGCCCACAATATCGGGTGAGAGATTCAGCCCTGTGTGTGCCCCATTGATATTATTTTTCATGAATCCGGGGAGCCTCTTGAGCTACTTGAGGCCCTAGACTTTTGCTTTGTTGCCCTCACCTGGCTGCAGCACGCGTGGCTTGGCCCCCAGGTACGCCAGGTTTACGTTGGCCTTGCGCCCGTCGATTATAGGGTTCGGGTCCTTGCAGGCTCGTTCCGCTGCTCCCCTTTCTCCCATCGTCACCTGCAAACATCGTCATCGTCGCCATTATCATCACTACCACCGCCATCACCACTAGCAGCAGCAATCAGCATCACCACGACTACCACCACAGTTAGCGGCAACAGATTCATCAGCACCACCATCATCAATAATATTTGTATGCAACAGATACAAAATGATAAATGTTCAAGCAGTGCGAGTGTGGTAAACATCTGTCAGATGGCAGAAGCCCTCCTCTCATCCTCCTCGAACACAACAACGCGAGACCACACGCAAACCCGAGTGCATCGGAGGCCATCGCTCAATTGGGCGAACAGTGTTGCCCCATCCACTCGTGGAACCTCTATCCTCGTTGAGGACTGAGCTCTCATCCACCGTACTGTGTTCAACCACCACCACCTTGCAGGTCATACCCACCCACCCACCCACCTTGCAGGTCATACCCACCCACCCACCCACCTTGCAGGTCATACCCACCCACCCACCTTGCAGATCATACCCACTCACTCACCCAGCCACCCACTCACCCAGCCACTCACCCAGCCAACCACTCACTCACCCAGCCACCCACTCACCTCACTCACCCAGCCACCCACCCACCCACCCACTCACCCACTCACCCAGCCACCCACTCACCCACTCACCCAGCCACCCACTCACCCACTCACCCACTCACCCAGCCACCCACTCACTCACTCACCTAGCCACCCACTAACCCAGCCACCCACCCACCACAACACTTCACTTTTGGTTTCTTCCCTCGCACTGCCGCACTTTAGAATTCTCTTTGCATCATCGACTCTTTCCCCAATCTCTTATAAGAACCTTGTTCAACTTAAGAAACGTGTTACACTCTTGTCCATTACATTGGCAATAGTACCGCTTGTCACTGGCCACTTGGCGTTTTGGGCCTTCAGGCCTGTGCTCAGCGGCCGCTTTCGGGCCATGCCGCGCGTCGTTCGGCACAATGGCCGGCATTCCGCTCCACGTGCCGGGACCTTATTCAGGAATGGATTCAGGAGCTGCAGACAGTTCACGCATTGCACTCCTGAGCTCGCTTGCTCACCCACCCACTCGCCAATTCATTTGCTCAACAATTCACTCGCCCGCCCACCCGCTTACTCATTTACTGCCAGAGAGAACTTTGGACAGAAGCAGCTCCCAGCACGTGCGAGCGAAACGTCGGGCACCGGCGGCAGGCTTCAAACGGCAACAAAACCCCGGAGCGCATCGTGGAGCCGGACATCGCGATCGTGAGCCGCCGACGCCACGGCCAGGCCGATGCCCCCCCCCCCCCCCCACAACGAGCAGCGGAGTCTCTGGAAGCGGCAGCGCTCGCAAGGGAACAAAGGGGGCTCCGCTACTGCCCTTTCCCGTCTTCTGAAACATTCTCTTTGTTCTGCCACCAAAGTGACGACAATCGACCTATCTTCATCGAGCCCCGTGGCGTCGGGGTGCAGGAGGGGGCAGAGCCCCCCACCCCGCGGCCATTGAAGGCTCAGTGCCCCCCCCCCTCAATATTATTATTATAAATTCCTGTATTCTAGTCAAAGAATGTAGCTCGAAAGACATTCATGGCGGTGGTTGTTGTTGTTGTTATAATGATGGTGACGATGGTGGTGCCAACAACGATGGGAGGTGGAGCGATGAATGCAGCCCTTGCTGGGTGGATCGTTATGTCGCAAGATTCGCGAGAGACGGCGGCAGTTTGGGGAGGGCCTTCATCCAGCAGTGGATCGACCATGGATGTTACGGTGACTAAACTTGCGGTTATAACCAGGGCAACCTCTACCACAACATCCACTCACAACGTAACCGGCGTTAGCCAAACGTCGCAATGCTGAAACATTACTTGCAAATTACTCGATTGCGATCACACCGAGCAAAAAATTAGCGGAAAAACTAAAAAATAACGGCGAGCGGCAAAACGCGCTCCGGTGAGGCCACGTTAACCGCCCCTCCATCCTCGCTCCATCGTGGCCCAAATCTCTGGTCGTGGGGTCACACGGGGGTCACACGGGGGTCACCAGGTCAGGCCGTCACGGGCATCGCACTCATGCCGTGTAAGGAGGGTCCGTCGTCGCCACGCGCTTTCAGGGCCCGGCGCACAAATTCACAAATTCACAAATTCAACGCCCCGAGGCGGAGGGGGGACCTGACGGCCCCGAGGAGGCCCAATCCCAAATCCCTGCCCCCCTCCCCTCCCGTCTCCACCTCATCGATCGCGTCTCTTATTGAACCCCCACCGGGCGCGGCGACTCAATTCCATTAACGGCGGTTTTAACGCGAGCGAGCGTCGCAGAGAGCCGCCATCGACGTCCGCGGGCGTTTTGAAGTCGGCGGAGCGCGGCGGGCCCGGGGCGGCGCAGCGGCACCAGCGGGCCGGCTCGCAATCGCGAGGGTGCGAGTTCGAATCCTGGTTGGGGGGTGGTTGACACAGCCCATCATCACTTTCCTTCGGGCGTCGATAAAGCAGGTACCATTTCATGGGGAAGCCAAGAGCGAATGTCTATGCGTAGACTCGTCCCCGCCACGTGAATGTGGAATTTCAACCACTGACGATATTCACTGTACAGCCCTTTTGTCAATCCACTGCTGGATGATGGACTGCCCACCAGCGGCGTATCGGGTGTACAGGCGGTGCAACTGCACCGGGGCCTACGGGTGTCAAAGGGGCCCAGGATTTGGGATACGAAGAGGAATGGGGGGGGGGAGGGGGACTGGGGGCGTGAACTGGAGAGGGGGCCCCGTTCCATTCCTTGCACCAGGGCGCTCATACCAACCATGCTACGCTACTGCTCCCCATTACGTTTTAGTCACTCGGGTTGATTGGCCATACTTCACCACAGTGGTCAGTGCGGATTTAGTGACTGGTTGGTATATCACAAGTCGCTGATGTTAGCCGTGGTTAGGAATCAAGCTCGGGTTGCTGCTGGGTTCACAGCGCAGTGTGCCGACCACTGCGCCATCCCTCCCTCCCACCGCATAATGTCAAATTCCCATGCTATTGTGGGTCTCCAGCTGTCCGTTAAAAACATTTATAAATGATAGTCATATTATTTACACATCTGAGTGGACTATTCTTGCCTGGTTAAACAAAGCACATTCATTGACCAGCAATCATCCAAACATATATAAAGTACCAGCAATATCCAATAATGGTGCACGTATGTGTGACACAGACACACTCAACAAAGACCCCCCCCCCCCCCTTACAGCCTTAAAGAGAGATGGTTGGGCCACGTGCTGTGAGCGAGCGAGCACCAATGAACGCCGGTGCAGTACTTGAAGGAGTGGGTGGGCCAGCACAACGCCCGGGCCGCCTTTGTCTCCCCAATGACAATGTTTATGCAAGGCAACAGGTACTCCATATTAAGGCTGAGTCGACCTAGGGAAGACCCAAGCACCGGTTAACATCATCGTCACCGATGCTGGACCTGAGCGGGAATCGAACTCGGGTCGCCCACCTTGTAGTGCAGTGCTCCAACCACTGTCACACCACTACCCCAAGACACACACCGACACATGGATACCTATATGGTATGTAAAGGGTTCTAAATATGGGGTATGTAAAGAACGCGTTTCAAGAGTTATCAGAGAACGCCTATTAAGTCCGGCAGAGCATACGAGGGGGTGGTGGGGGGCCATCACAACGATTGGTTGTCCTGCCTCCTCCGTGCTGACATTTGCACACCACGCCAGGTGCTCATTTAAGGTTGAGTCCACCTACGGGAGGCACAGCGTGACATTGCCAATGATGACGATGTCCCGAAGCACCGACCCAGCACCTCCCGTCCAGCAGCACGCGTGCGAACGGATGCGAAACTTTATTTTCCAACCGTTTCCCACATTACCGCTTGCGTGAACAAACCGATCATTGGCCGGGTCACCGATTGCTTAACCAATCAGAGAGCCCAGCTCCGTCACGAATCAATCTGTCCGTCCACCAACCTATGCCCTGTAAACAACTGGCCACTCCTTGGCCAAATTCTGGTGCTGCCAAGCGGAAAGTGGGAAGGGAGGGGAGGGAGAGTGGCGGTGGTGGTGTGGTGGGAGAGGGCGCGCGGGGCTGCGTGGCCCCAGATAACAAGTGGTCGGCAGGGGTTGGCGGGTCGCGGTGGCGAGCGGTGGGGAGGCACGGCGCGGGAACACCTGGGCCACCGCCGGCTGCTCGCTCCACAAAGAGGGGGCACCGGCGATGGCCGTCACTCAGTGGCACGGCGGGCCAACCATCGAGTGTGCAGGCGGTGCAGCTGCACCGGAGCTCCATGGAGCCACCAGGCTATGGAAGAGGGGAGACTGGACATGCGTGGGGTGGTGGGGGGGGTGGTGGACTGCATCTAACTTGGTGAACCAGGAGGCAATGTCAACCATGCTCCCAGCACCCATAGACTCACTTCCGATAAATCGACTCGCATACAGACACACTCACATATTGCTTAATATACCATTGGCTTACAGAGAGACCCATACATAGACTTAGATCGATTTCTTGACTTGCATAAAAACCCATAGACTCGCATATTGATGAGGACGAGAGACTTGCATAGAAACCCATAGACTGAAAACCAAAATCCATGGATTCATATATAGACACACACAGAGAAAACCTCCATCGGCTCAAATACAGACCCCATGGATTTACAGTGACCCACAAGCTAACACAGGGCCCGGTGAGACTCCACCGGAGCCCGCAGGCTGGATGGGGCCCCAGGCTGCGGGGCTTCGAAGAGGCAGAGGGGAAATTGGGCAGCCCCCCCCCCCCCGGCCCACCACCCCTCTCCCCATTTAATTCCCGGCGCCAGGCCCCGCGCGAACAACGCCGAGCCGCTGGGCAGAGCAGCGAGTGGACCCATTCACATTCAACACGAGTAGTGAAAGATGTGTGGCAACGCTTGGAATATTGTGACACGCATAGAAACAAACGCGCGCACACGCACTAATACATTTGGACATATGTGGGGATATATGCTAATGAACATGGAGGTCGATGCACATAAACGAACACGTACAAGTAAATA